CCTTCTCTCTCACTCACAAACACTTCTTCAAACTCATTAATATGTTGGCACCCTGTCCTGTGTTGGAAAAGGAATGTGCAATGGGGCCACAGTACATGTTTAGTGTTAGTTGATTGAATAATGCTGTGTCGGTCCCTGTGTTGGCACTATTAGGAGGTATGGCCTTGTTGGAGTGGGTGTGTCACTGTGGGTGTGGGCTTTAAGACCTGTAACGGCTGTTTCTTTTGTAACAGCCAGCTGGTTTTGCTGCTCTGGTCTGTAGGTCAGGGTCTAGCAAGAGAGAGAGTGGGGATGGAGGAAGGGCGAAAAAGGGGCGAGAGACGCAGAAGATAGATACAAGACAGAGTCCGGTGGAGTCTCTTCAAGTCTCTTCTTTATTCTCCTCTCTTCTATATTCTCCTCACTCCTTCAGTCTCCTCACTCCTCCCACACATAGAAAGGCAATCCTGGGTATTTATACCCTTTACCATGTGACTTGCCCTCGTGGACAAGCTCAAGTGAAGGCACTAAGTCACGTGACTTGTAGCCATGGATACCAGGAGCACCTTGCAGCAGCGGGGGGGGGGCACTAAACAGTGTAACAAGATGTTTATTAGAGTGCACTCAGCTATTGCAGGCTGTTGAAAACAAGTCTCTTGTCAGGGTATATGGCTCGAGATGGCTGTAAAGATGATAGCCACTTTCAGCTAGGAGTCGGCTCCCAACAAAGACCCTCATCCTAGCTGCCTGGACGCCAGCATTCTGCTAGCAGCCTTGAGATGAAGATGTAGACCTCTCATCAGGAGATCTAGAGCTCCTGCACCACACCTGCCTGGATGGCGCCATGTTCCCGCCTTGAGGAAAATGCACTGCACCTCAACCTGTAGGCCAGCCCCAATTAAATGCTGTTCTTAAAGAGCTGCCTTGGTCGTGGTGTCTGCTCACAGCAGCAAAACCCTAACTAAGACAGGGCCCTAGTACAAGAAAGTAATTCTGACATCTCCTTCATTAGTATGGTTTAAGGTGAGTGTCCTAGTTCATATGATGGTTTCTTGGCAGAGACGTTGACTTATCGTCATGAGGATGTTAGACCTGTACCAAGGCTGTCGCAGGATATTTGATCACACTGTAAACCTTGAGATTGTGTTGTTTCCTTATTCTAGTTGTGGTGTGGCTCAGACCAAGCACACACCTTTAATCCAGATGCTCGCTGCTTGCGTATTGTGAATAGGATTCAGTAAGGTCATCGGGATGGCGGAAGGTGGAGCAGGCAGCCAGCTGACAGGAGTGAACATAGGATAAACCACAGAGAGGAAAGAAGTCAGAAGGACTGATGCAGAAAAAGGGAGGGACGCCGAGTGGGACTGTGTTTGAGATGGCGTGGGAAGGTGGCTGAGGGGGAAGGTCAGCCGGGTGGTTTCTTTGCCTCGGTGAGCTATTTCTTTTTCTTTTTTTTTTTAAGACAGGGTTTCTCTGTGTAGCCCTGGCTGTCCTAGAACTCACTCTGTAGTCCAGGCTGGCCTCGAACTCAGAAATCCGCCTGCCTCTGCCTCCCAAGTGCTGGGATTAAAGGCGTGCGCCACCACCGCCCGGCGAGCTATTTCACTGAAGGGTCTGGCTCCCAAGTCTTTATTGGTAAAATCAAACAATTGAGATTTTATTAAAAACAACAGGAGACCATCTCTTTACCAGGGGTTCTTACCTCTCTTTCCCTCTCTCCCTCTCCTTCCTTCCCCGTCTCCCTTTCCCTCCCTCCCTCTCTCTCTCTCTCTCTCTCCCTCTCTCTCCCTCCTCCCTGTCTCCCTTTCCCTATTTCCCCCTCCCTCTCCAAGGCAGGGTTTCTTTGTGTAGCCTTGGCTGTCTTGCAACTCACTGTGTAGATCAGGCTTGCTTCAAACTCACAGTATTCTGCTAGCCTCTGCCTCCCAAGTGCTGGTATTAAAGGTGTGTTCTACTCCTCAGCAAAATTAGCAAACTTGGTGACTGATGGGGGCGTTTGGCTCCCTTGGGAATAGATAAACTTCCAACATTCCCCTTAAACATCCCTTGACCCTTTTCTCCAAATCTATGATCTGTCATCTCTGTTACATTCTTCAATCTAAATATAAGTCGAGCATGACAAGAAGTCAGGCTAAATTCTGCCTTTAGAGATGGCTTTGTGTAAGTCAGGCTGCCAGGGTTAGAAAAGGTGCGATTGAGACAACAACACTGCAGCCTACACTTAAGTGACCACAGCCCAGGGGCACCGGAAAGAGCCTGTTCAGCTGTGTCTGGGTGGGGCAGGATGTGAGTAAGTAGGTGGCGGAGCGGTGGGAGAGAAGGAGTGAAGAGACGGGTGGTTGGGGAAATGGGAGATGGGGAGAAGCTGAGCTGTTGGCGTCTATGCCAGGAAGCAGAGCTGAAGGCGTGAAGGCGGTTCCTGTTCTTTTTCCTTTGGAAATCGTGACGTACACTGTCCATCAGTAGAGGCAGTGATAATCGTAAACGGCGGTGGGCCTGTGCACTCTTCCTTTGAGAAGACCTCCTGCTGTGTGAGACGCTGACTCCCAGAGCTGCACCCTAGCCCAGGAAGAAGAGCAGGACCCGCCGGGGGAGACCACCGCTGACCTGCGTGTCCTGTGTTGACTTCTCAGTACTGGCCTGTCTGCTCATGCCTGTGGTGTCTCAGCGAGGCTCCCATGAGGCTGGGAGACTCTGGTCGAATTATAGTTTTACTGTGCTGTGTTTATCTTTGGCCAGACATTTATTTCCTTTGGAATCTTTGGATTGGATAAAGATTTGAAGACATCCAGTGTAGGGTCTCTGAAAATGCAAAACAGTCCAAGCAGACACAAGAGTTTATGCAAAGCAAGATCTTTATTTGAATTAGGCAGCAAAAACTGACCGACCAGAGGAGACTCAGGAGGGACGGTAGTACAGACTTGGAAACTGATTTCATTTTAGTAAGTATTTGATCAGAAAAATAACAAACCCCACAAGCATCTGTGCCAAGCTACAGTTACAGTTTTTCGGTAGACCAGTCATTATGTTTTGGGGAATAAGGAGAAAGTCAGCTATCTGAAAAGTCTCCAGCTCTCCTAGAGCCTGGGAACTTGAACTGAATTTTACTTTATGATCAAAGTGGAGTCTGAAAACAAAATGGCAGTACTCAGGCTAAGTCTCTTCGTATCTTCCTCAAATCTTTGATGACCTGTTTCCGAGTAGGGGTTGCATTGGGTCCTGAGGATCCTGAGCTTGACTGTGCTGTCTGTGCCCACCCTCTCCACACTTCTTTGCATGCTTTCTTGTGGCTTAAACTGAGCAGCCTGCTGTCTTACCGTGCAGCCAAACCACTAGCACCATTATAGACCCCATCCCTAAAAACAGAAGATGAATTAGAAGCAGTTGCTTTGTAAGACTCTAGCGAGCAGAGCCTTAGTTTACCGGTGACCCCGAGTGAACCACGTGGAGATGTGAATCAAAAAAAGCAAGAGGAATTTTAATGATTCAATGCATTGGGGTCGTCCTGCATCCGAAGGAGAGGCGGTAACCATGGGCAGCCCATTTGGTCAGTTTTTATACAGTTTAAGGGGTAGACTAGAGAAACAGTGACTAGGCACACTATGATTGGCAGAACAGCGTGACTTTTAAACCGATTGGTCTTTGGGGAATGAGGTGGCAAGGCCCTCCCTTGTCTGTAGGTGGCAAAGGTTGGCCAGTCCTGCGGAATGTGTCTAAGTGCTCTGGGCCTTCCCCACCCGCAGGTGGGTTCCCTGCCCCCGTGGTCTGAGGAATATTAATCAGCCTCTCCAATCTGGCAAGTGTCCCATGATCTTTCTAAAGTTCCTAAGCTGACCAGGAATGTTAATTAGCCTCTCCCTTGGGGGTGGGGGGGAGTTCTCAAACTTTCTTCTTAATATGCTGATTTTCTGGCCTTATATATTTTATTTTTATATTTTTGGCTGATGGAATTAGGATTTTTGTACATGTCAGGCAGTTACTCTTGTGCTGAGATTACTCATATCTTGGCTTTGGGACTTTGGCAGAGGGTATTGTTTTTCACCAGGATGGCATGCATTCATGACATTAATACTGAGTCTTCAGAATCATTGCATTGCAGTTTAATATTCTTGCTACCTTTGTGTATATCTTTGATTTTTAATAAATGTACATGAGTCTTTTGTGCATATATATATACACACACATATACACTACATACACGCACACACACACACACACATACATACATATATGTGTGTGTCTGTGTGTGTAATATTTGTGCATCTGGTGTTCCCTGATGTGAGGAGGGCATTGGATCCTCCTTATCTGGAGTTATGAATGGCTGGGAACTTCCAAGTGAGTGTTAGGATTTGATCTGGATCCTCTGCAAAAGCAACATGTGCTCCTAACTGCTGAACCATCGTTTTTCCCTATGCTTTTTGGTTTTGATTTTGGATAGATACTTATTTGCTAATATTTTTGAGAACTCTTTGATCTGTCAGTAAATAACAAATTAAAAATGCATTTCTTTGTTAGTAAACTGAGGTACTCCAGTTTTCTGATAAACTAGTATTGAAATAGAGTGAATATTTGACTCTTTGGAGGAATTTCAAGTAAGGTCTTGAGTGCTTTCTATCCTTTGTTTCTTTGAGACAGCGTCTGACTCTGTACCTCTGACTGTCATGAAAATCACTACATAGGCTAGGCTGGCTTAGAAATCACAGCCATCCACCTGTCTCTACCTTCTGAGGTCTGGGATTAAAGGTCTTCATTACAACATTCATCATGTCCATCCTTTTTTGAAGTTAGGGGTTTTGATAATTTTGCTAATGTATACCCAGTAGCGCTGATCTGTTTGAGAGTCTCACTGTATTACCTATTAGGAGTCATTTCTCTTGCAATGCCGTATGGAATTCAGTGGGCCCAGAAATGAGAGGGGTGATTCTCTTTTCTGTTTACTTGTGATGACCTGTGACTGCATTTGAAAGTCTATGATGTGGAATACATGTGTGGACACCAGAATGATGTAAATATATTCTCAGTGAAATGTACATTTACAGTGCAGTCAGTCTCACCATGTCTATTATGTCCTTACATGGGCTATTTTAGGCCGCAGTGAGCTATGAGGATGTGCATGTGAACTTCAGTCATGAAGAGTGGGCTTTGCTGGATCCTTCCCAGAAGAGTCTCTACAAGGATGTGATGGTGGAAACCTGCAGGAACCTCACTGCCATAGGTGAGAATGCTAGTTGTCGTTCACTTTCTAAACAAGGGGACAAGTGTTTCTTGGTTATTGGTGCACTTCTGTGATTTCTCTTGTGACAGAAGAAGAATGTGGTAAATTATCATACATGGTTCTCAGGTTTACCAAAGATTCTAACTTAAAATTTGCATACTATCCAATAATATATCATAAATTTTCTGTTACTGTATTCTAGGCTACAAATTGGAAGATAGCAACGTTGAAGAACACTGTCAAAGTTCTAGAGGAGATGGAAGGTAAAAGTCACGTGCAAGCTGATACGAATGCATCACTGAGGACACTTTCATGTGCCCTGAAGGTGTAAAGAAAAGCAGCAGTGTAAATAAGCACAGATTTATGTATATTGATGAGGATTACATTCTCACAAGGCCGTGTGCTTCAACTTCAGGTAGCTAGCCTGTGCTTGTAAGGGGTTCCTGTAAGAAACAAGACAAAGAAACCGTACCTTTTAGTCTCAGTCCAGTGAGAGCCATGTTTTATAATGAGTTTCATCCCATTCAAAAAGCATGCACATTGATTAGGGGACCAGTGAATGTCCAAGACCTTTTATTGGCAAATAGTCCAGAGTAAAGCTAGTGTTACTCATATTCTTCTAGTGAGTTTCCAAAGTTTAATGAGAACAACAGTTTATAGGAAACAAGAAGGTCGTTGTCATGGAGAAACCTTAATCCCTGTAACACATGTCTATGCGGAACAAGAAGTTAACTTGTGTGAATATAGTTGGAAACCTTTTGTGTGTTTTTTCTCTTTTAATAGGACTAACATCTGTCATTGTGGGTACAAGCCTTGTGAGCATAAGGGACGTGGAAAGAAGCAATGCACCTTTGTACAGAAGAGTTTTCTTCAAACCTATGAAAGAATCCATACTGAAGAGAAACCCTATGAATGCAGTCAATGCAGTAAAGCCTTTGCAAATTTCCGTAGTCTTCAAAAGCATGAAAAAAATCATACTAGAGAAAAACCCTTTGACTGTAGTCACTGTGGCAAAGCCTTTGTAAGTCGCAGTGCTCTTCAAATACACCAAAGAACTCATACAGGAGAGAAGCCCTTTTTTTGCAATGTATGTGGTAAAGCATTTGCACGTCACAGTAATCTTGATATACATAAAAGAACTCATACTGGAGAGAAACCCTATGACTGCAATGAATGTGGTAAAGCATTTTCAACTCGCAGTCATCTTCAAATTCATGAAATAATTCATACTGGAGAGAAACCCTATGCATGTAATCAGTGTGGTAAAGCCTTTGCATATCGCAGTAATCTTGAAGCACATGAGAAAACACACACTGGAGAGAAACCCTATGAGTGTAGTCAATGTGGCAACGCCTATGCCAGTCGTAGTAGTCTTCGAAATCATGAAAAACATCACACTGGAGAGAAACTCTATGGATGTAATCAGTGTGGTAAAGCCTTTGCACGTCGTAGTAGTCTTGAAATACATGAAAGAACTCACACTGGAGAGAAACCTTATGTGTGTAATCAGTGTGGTAAAGCTTTTGCACGCCGCAGTAGTCTTCAAATACATGAAAGAGCTCACACTGGAGAGAAACCCTATGACTGTAATCAGTGTGGTAAAGCCTTTGCAAGTCGTACTAGTCTTCAAAATCATGAAAAACATCATACTGGAGAGAAACCATATGGCTGTAACCAATGTAGTAAAGCCTTTGAATTAAGGTGTGATCTTCAAATACATGAAAGAGTTCACACGGGAGAGAAACCGTATGGATGTAATCAGTGTGGAAAAGCCTTTGTAAGTCGTCGTTATCTTCGAAATCATGAAAAACATCATACTCTTGAGAAACTCTATGATTGTAGTCAATGTGGTAAATCCTTTGCAATTTTCAGATATCTTCAAAAACACAAAAAAACCCATACTGGAGAGAAACCGTATAAATGTACTCATTGTGGTAAAGCCTTTGCATATCGCAGTAATCTGTATAGACATGAAAGAAGCCATACTGGAGAGAAACTGTATGAATGTAATGAATGTGGTAAAGCCTTTGCATATTATACTAGTCTTCATAATCACAAAAAATGTCATACTGGAGAGAAACCCTACAAATGTAATTAATGCAATAAGTTTTGACACATCAGTATAATCTTCAGTTCATTAAAGAACTCATACTGGAGAGAAACCCTATGAATGTAATCAGTGGGATAAGGCCTCTGCATCTTATAGTCTTCTTCATAGCCGTGAAAGAATTCCTCTGGAGAGAAATTCTAATCTAATAAATGCAGTAAAGCCTTGTACACCAAGCCCATTTTTATTTTTTGTCACTAAGCAATCTCACTGGTGCTCATGTACAATTAGTAGAACTGTTTCATCATTAAAATATTGTCTTGTTCTCAGATCATACAGAAATTGTCATCCAAGGATAGAGGAACACACAGGGTTTGAATAATAAAACCTATTTGCAAATGAAAATGATATACTGCCGTCTATTTTTATTGGTTATGTTTTTTTCTGAAAAGCAAATACTTCTCAAGACGTTCTCAGAAATATGAATGGCAGAGATTGTTCTGGGAAACCCACGTTGCTCATGCAAGTTTGTTTTTTTTTTGATTATTACATACTTAGGCTTTGACATGTGCTCACCTACACAACAGCACATACATAGTTTTGAAACTTAATTAAAGACCACTTAAAGGTACTGGCTACATAACTTGACTATCTGGTTTGATCTCTCAGACTCAGAGGAAAAAGGGAATAAACACCTGAAAGTTGTCTTCTGGTTAGCACATGTACATCATAGCACAAGTGTATTTTTTTTTAATTTATTTATTTCATGTATATGAGCACACTGTCCCTGTCTTCAGACACACCAGAAGAGGGCATCAGATCCCATTACAGATGGCTGTGAGCCACCGTGTGGGTGCTGGGAATTGAACTCAGGACCTCTGGAAGAGCAGTCAGTGCTTGTAACCACTGAGCCATCTCTCCAGCCCGCAAAAGTGTATCTTACACAGGTAAAAATTATTAAAGATGAAACCTGAAAGAAAATAAGCAAAATATTGAGACCATAAGAAATGATTTTACCACTCACAACTGATACATTGTATTCCAAGAAGTGTTCATCAAAAGAATGAGGGTTCCTGTTTAAATCTTCCTTTATCCTTTCATTCTTTTTTTTGTTTTTGTTTTTCGAGACAGGGTTTCTCTGTGTAGCCCTGGCTGTCCTGGAACTCACTCGGTAGACCAGGCTGGCCTCAAACTCGGAGATCCCCTGCCTCTGCCTCCCAAAGTGCTGGGATTAAAGGTGTGGGCCACCACTGCTTGGTTTATCCTTTCATTCTTTATTCAACAATAGGTCATTTAAAAAACAACTCAGCTGGGTGTTGAGTCACACTCCTGTAATCCCAGTTTTGGGAGACAGGGAGATGTAATTCTGTGTTTGAGGCCAGCTTGGATCACATAGCAAGTTAAAGATGGCATAGCTATGTAGAGATATCCTCTCTCATAAAATCCAAAACATCAATAACATCCCCCCCCAACCAAACAATCATATCTCTCATTATGGATCTTTTCCTAATATAATCTGCATGCCGTGTGAATATTTTAATATTGATATCTTCAAAAAACTGAAATATAGGACTTTCTGTTTGTTTTGTCCCAGGTATGAGGCTATGGGGCTGATTCACAGCAGGTAGCTATAATCTGCCTTGTGCTCTAGCAGAGGTGTTATTTTTGCCAGAGGCAGATTATTTGTGCAGTTATGTGACATTTGTAATTCTGGGGACTTTTCACTGGGCATATAAATGGTAAGGCCCTGACAGTTGGTGTGGGTTACGGGTTGATGGTGGGGTGCTGTTGGTCATGATTTGTTATGTAGTCACGCACAAAGGAACAAGAAATTAGATGCCCTGATGATGAAAATCAAAGTTGCCCAAGGAACTTGACAGTCCTAATCAGCAGGACGCAGTCTATCGATGACATCACCTCCTCATCAGCAGGACGCAGTCTATCGATGACGTCACCCCCTCATCAGCAGGACGCAGTCTATCGATGACGTCACCTCATCAGCAGGACGCAGTCTATCGATGACGTCACCTCGTATTCTCCTTTATACTTTTTTCTCACCTATTTAGTATTAAAGGTTTGAAAGGTTGGAAGAAGAGGGATGAAAGAAAAAAGCCACCAAGTAGCAAACACCTGCTACATCTGGAGTCACCTCTAGTCAATGAAGTCTGTTGTCCTCCCTCTTATCAAAAGAAGTGTGTTAAAAATTACAGTGAGAAGCGACTTGTAAAGCCCATTCACAAAGAGAGAGAATCCAGTCAGTTCTTAAGTGACCATGGACTAGGGACTTTTCAGCACCGGAACGTGATAGAAGGCAGAGGCCCAATGGAGCCTCTTCATTGTCTGCATCATAATGGTGTATTTAGGGTCCAGAATGCTGTCTCAATAGTACTGATTCTGTTGGGTACCCAACTGTTTCCTAGCACTCACCTCAGATGATTCCAGGTGCAGAAGGTCCGATGCACTCTTCTGTTTCCTTGGATACCATGTATACAAATGAAAGACACAGTCACATTCAGCCCCCCACATACATTGGACTATATATTGTGAAATGTATAGCAGGTATAGCAGATAGTAGCAAGTGAGAATACACATCATTGATTGCTGGTGTTCAGAGTTTATGCTTTATATGCTTCTGTTGGGAAATGTGTGTGTGACACTTGTGCTTCTTCTTGTCATTGTACACAGCTTTATTCATGAGAACTTTACTCACGTAACATTTTTTTTTTTTTGCTTTTTGTTTTTCGAGACAGGGTTTCTCTGTGTAGCCCTGGCTGTCCTGGAACTCACTCTGTAGACCAGGCTGGCCTCGAACTCAGAAATCCACCTTCCTCTGCCTCCCAAGTGCTGGGATTAAAGGTGTGCGCCACCACCGCCCGGCTCAGGTAACATTTCTTAACCTCAGAGTATAGATTGACTCAGGCTCTGTCTAACATTGGCTATCGCATTAGACGTTAGTCCAGCACTTACATTGGCTCTGTTCTCTCAGGAACCCCTACCTGTAGAACAGTGACAGAAGCTGAAGGGAGTGTAAATCCGCAATGAGATAAGAAAGTGGGAACCCTCAGACAATGAGTGGGAATGATGGGAGAAGCCAGGAACGGCTTTGCCTTATGTTGAGCTTGTGCATTTTGAAAGAAAGAAGGAGCTCAGAGTGGATGAATACTGGGACTGGTCCACGGTGAAGAATGTATGAATGATGAATGCATGCACTCGTGAATGAATGAGAGTGGATGAATGCTGGGACTGGCCCACGGTGAAGAATGTATGAATGAGTGAATGCATGCACTCGTGAATGAATGAAAGGCCCAGAACAGGATCTGCCACTCAGCAGGCAATGTACCAAAGTGCCCTGAGTGAAAGAACAGAACGGGGTCTGACAGTGTGAAGGGTCAGTCTGAGTGGCACACAGTAGGTGCTCACAGTACTTGGAGAAAAGACGTGGCTACCAGACACTGGGTGGTACATGGCCATCCAGTCCCAACCACTTCTACTTGCAGCCCCTGGAGGCGGAGGCCAGCTCAGTGCACAGCCTGGAGAGACAGGTAGGTGGAAGGGCACAGCCCGTGTTTGGGAGGGTCCAGTGTCCTGAAGTCCTCAAGTGCTGATCTCGGTCTCTGCAGGTGCAGGAGCTGCAACAGATGCTGGCGGAGAAGCAGGAGGAAAAGGAGAGTCTGGGCCGGGAGGTGGAGAGCCTGCAGAGCCGCCTGTCCCTGCTGGAGGTGGGCGGGCCTTGGGAGTGCAGAGCCACAGAAAGACAGTACAGAGGGGTTAGGATACTGAGCCACTGGCTTGGTCCCTTTGGCTGGGGCAGATACCTAGCTGGTCTGCTCCAGTGAAGACACCATATCCTGAGCCATCCTAGAGGAACCACTGCACTCAGAGCAGCAGGATTTCAGGATCCCAGAGGCATCCTGGGTCCCAGGAGTTCTACCCAGGAGCTCAGGATCACAAAGACATCTGGACTCTGTGAATTCTGACACAAGCAAGATAACTAGAAAGACAGGCTCCAATCAGAGACAGTGAATATAGGTAGCACTAGAGATAACTAGATGGCAAAAGGCAAGCGCAAGATTATAAGCAACAGAAACCAAAGTTACCTGGCATCACCAGAGACCAGTCCTCCCACCACAGCAGGTCCTGCACACCCCATCAGGCCGGAAAAGCAGGATTCAGAATTAAAATCACTTCTTATGATGATGATAGAGGACTTTAAGAAGGACATAAATAACTCCCTTAAAGAAATACAGGAGAACATAGGTAAACAGGTAGAAGCCCTTAAAGAGGAAACACAAAAGTCCCTTAAAGAATCACAAGAAAACACAACCAAACAGGTGAAAGGAATTGAACAAAACCATCCAGGATCTAAAAATGGAAGTAGAAACAATAAAAAAATCTCAACGGGAGACTACCCTGGAGATAGGAAAACTAGGAAAGAGATCAGGAATTATAGATGCAAGCATCAACAACAGAATACAAGAGACAGAAGAGAGAATCTCAGGTGCAGAAGACACCATGGAAAACATTGACACTGCCAGGCAGTGGTGGCGCATGCTTTTAATCCCAGCACTTGGGAGGCAGAGGCAGGTGGATTTCTGGGTTCGAGGACAGCCTGGTCTACAGAGTGAGTTCCAGGAGAGCCAGGGCTACACAGAGAAACCCTGTCTCGAAAAACAAACAAACAAAAAAAACAAAACAAAAAAGGATAAAAGAAAACATTGACAGAACTGTCGAAGAAAATACAAAATGTAAAAAGCTCCTAACCCAAAACATCCAGGAAATCCAGGACACAAATCTAAGGATAATAGGTATAGATGAGAGTTAAGATTCTCAATTTAAAGGGCCAGTAAATATCTTCAACAAAATTATAAAAGAAAACTCTTTTTTTTTTTTTTTTGAAACAGGGTTTCTCTGTATAGTCCTGGCTGTCCCGGAACTCACTCTGTAGACCAGGCTGGCCTCGAACTCAGAAATCCACCTGCCTCTGCCTCCCACGTGCTGGGATTAAAGGTGTGTGCCACCACTGCCCGGCAAAAGAAACTTCCCTAACCTAAAGAAAGATATGCTCATGAACATACAAGAAGTCTATAGACTCCAAATCGACTGGACCAGAAAAGAAATTCCTCCCAACAGATAATCATCAAAACATCAAATGAACAAAACAAAGAAAAAATACTAAAAGCAGTAAAGGAAAAAGGTCAAGTAACATATAAAGGCAAACCTATAAGAATTACACCAGACATCTCACTAGAGACTATAAAAACCAGAAGAGCCTGGACTGACATCATACAGACCCTAAGAGAACACAAATGCCAGCCCAGATTTCTATACCCAGCAAAACTCTCAATCACTATAGATGGTGAAACCAAGATATTCCATGACAAAACCAAATTTGCACAGTATCTTCTCAC